GTCTCATATTTCTAAAATGGTCCACTTTTAAATTCGGCCAGAAATAATTATTTTTCTATGCCAATTGTGAATTGGTCCACTTTTGTGAATTGTCTCATGTTTCTAAAATGGTCCACTTTTGGAGTGATTTAACATAATCAACAATATAATTGACGTGTTGATTTTAAATTTAGTGGTTAACCCTCTAACACTCGGTCCGAAGGCGAAAAAAAATTGGACCCTCCATAAAATTTCTAACGCTGACAATGCCAATAAAAAATATAAAGTTTTGGCCTAGGGGGTAGACACGAATTATAAAACTTTGAGTCATGTGAATCACAGTGAATCAAATGAATCATTCAAATGTCAAATAAGCATCACTTTTGGTTTTACTAACATGATCGTTCATTAAATTCTAAATATTATCGTTGATTTTATTTGGAATTTACTAGAAAAACACGAAATAGATAAAAAAAATAATGAGTTAATACATTTAAAAAAAACGTCAAGAAATCATTTTTTCGAAGACAAATAATTTTAATTGTTCAATAAATATTTCTTGTATGACACATAAATGACATTTCAAATGTCATCTAAACAATGTGAATCTTTTGAATCACAGTGAATCAAATGAATCATGTCTACCCCCTAGGTTTTGGCCTTAGCTAAATACCATTAACGATAGTTTAAGTGTGTTTTAGAATTTTTTATGAAATTTTTCAAAAATGCGTCATTTGGGCAGATTTTTTGGAAGGCTGCCTGTAGGCCGCCTTAACTGTTAGAGGGTTAATCACTAAATTTTGTGAACTAAAAATTGCTCATTATGATTTTTATTTTGGCGGACATAAGTCGATTGTTGTATTTATGACGAAATTGGAAAGAAGTCATAAATGTTATGTTAAATTTGGTTCATTTTATTTTATATCTATATGTTTTTCTCTATCATTTTATCTAAATAAATTATTTTTGTTTCGCTACTTGATGATGGAGCTCTTAGCAATAAATAAAAATAAAATAGAGGAAAAAATGATAAATGTTGAGCATTGAATTAGAAATAGTCATTGCAATATTTCACAGCTAACAAAATGACGTATATTCTACATGATTTCGGTAAGACAATATTTAAAATAGATTTTCAAAATTTCTAAAAATGTAGAGTTTTTTGAGTTTTGATGTCGACTGGAATTTTAAAACTCATCCATTTATTTTGTTTTATTTAGAAAATGGTATCAAAAATCTACGAATTAAACGGGAAATAAAAAAGATTTTTGTTCTTCTATTTTTTCAATAAAAAATTGGTCTCTTTTATAGTAATCTCTTTTTTTAATTTGCATGCAAAACGGTTGTTTTTTGTTCGTTCACCCAAACAATGTGAGACACAGAATGAAAATGTAAACAGTGAAGCAAAGTTATATAAATATATGCCACATATTTTTCTAGCACAACATTTTTTTTCGTATTCACATTTCGGTGCAATGATTTTGATTTTCTCATTTTTTAGGATCTTTCATATTCATCGATATTCATAAAATGAATGTGTGTGATTTCTTTTCTACTCAAAAATTGAATCCATTAAATATATTTTTGTTTCTATCAAATTTATTTGTGATTTGTATGTTCACAAATACTGGGTACGATGCAAAGAATATTTGCGATGCAATGTTTCTTCAATATTAATATGTAAATCTATTTTGAAAAAAAAAGAAAAAATTTAAAAATTGTTTAAAAAAATCGTGAAAATGATCGGCAATGTGATTGCGACGAAGAAAAAAAATTAAATATTACAATCGTTGTAAAACGTTAAATTACATATTCTGATATATTTGTGTTAACTGTGTGTTTATATGAGGATTATGTCTATTTTATTGTGTAAATTTGTGAAGCAAACAGAAATATATATTATTGACATTCTTTTTTGTCGTTGTTTCAAGTCAATAAAATTCAAATAATGAAAATTTAAAAATAAAAACGGCAAGAAAATTATACAATGAAATCTTCCAAATAAAGGAACAAAATATAATGTGAATAAATATCGGGTCGCAAGAGAGCCGTTTTTTGTGAACAATGATTTTTGAAATAAGACAATCGAAAAAAATAATGAAATTTTATGGGTACCAACAAGAAACACTTTTACGCTCTAGATGAGATCACATAGCCAAAAGAAAACAAAGCTAAAAATTTACTAGAAAAGAACGATGAGAATATTCATTTAAATAATTTCGACGAGTTTTAATGGAAACAAAAGAAAAGAAAATGGTACAGTGTGTAGCATCATCATATCGTGGTCTTTTCATCTTTGCTACAGTCCAATCCTCATTTATAATATGGCAATATGTTGTATTCAAAATTTTGTTTAGAGAGTTTTTTTTTGTTTGATCTTGGAATTATTTAAATACGATTCGATTCGATTTATTTCAATTTTATTTATTTGTTTGTTGTTATTCAAAAAATTATTGATGCAAAAAAGTAAACGTTTAGATAAAAAAAAAACAAGTAATGGAAACCGTTGATATGCTGCACATTCAATAACATTATGGTGCATCGCCTTTGCTCAAATTTGGCTCGCCAAGATCTTCTTTTGAAGCAAACAGTGACCGACGGCACTGCGCAAGTCCTTCAGCAAACGTCACATTCTTCACTGATCTTGCCTTTGCTGTTTTGGATCGGGTGATGATTCCATAGGCTTGATTGGCAACTGAGGCGCCCTTCATATTTGTCTGAAAGTAGAATAAAATAAAAATGAATTATTCCAATTCCTATGTGAATTATATACCACATACCGCATTTCTTTTTCCTTTAACGTTCGTGACTGCGTGTTCGTTGTTGGAAGAAACAAAGCAAATGGGAGTACGGCTACCATTTGCTACCAATCGAATGTTTATGTTCTTTTCCAATGGCTATAAAACAATTCAGACAACTCATATTAGAATTTTATTATAAAGAAACAACATAGGAAAAGTAATACCGAGCTCGGTGCTTTGGCCTGCGACGACAAACAATTTAGCCTGCGGGTAGAGCGACGAAGCGAACGTACATGGCTCGCAAATGGTGTCGATGTTGGTTCATCGTTTGTAAATGCGATCGGTGGCGGTACATCATCTGCGAATTCGGTTGGTGGCAGTAATAAAATTGGCGAAATTTTCTGAGAGACTTGATTGAACGTTTGACTTGAAATAGATGCCACAACTTGATCTGGAGCAATCGAGTTCGGTGACATTGGAGACGTAGATGCATCCAAAGTCAAAGCAGCAGCACGAATTGGCCGAGTGCACACTTTGCCTGCTTTCTTTTTTTCTTTTTCGTATTTACGAATACGACGTAATTTGGCCAGAAACAAAGTTTTGTGATCGGTCGGTAGCCAAATTCCCTCGAAATTTGTAGCCAGAGCATTTTTGTACAGATTGAGTACGCTTATGTTGACTAAATCATCCGAGCGTGCTTGGTTTTTCAAAAACGCCTCGAGCTTGAGCTTGAAAACAATACTCTCGTCTGTTTTTTCATCCGAATGCACGCCAAAATTTTCAATTTGTCCAGTTTCTTTGTGAAATCGGGCTCCAGCGAGACACTGTGGTGCATTTAAACAATCCAAATAAATAGTCTGGGCAGTTTCATTGCATTTTTTATAGACAAATCCTGATGGATCGTCTCTGAAATATTTCACTGATTCTAAAAATGAAATGATTGAACAATATTTTAATATAATTTTGAATGAAAGTGATTATGAATTATGCGATGTAAGAATTATTACCTCCAATTGGTTTCATTGTTTGATTTTCTTGGCGATATTTTCAATTTTCAACAATTTTTTTCAAATATGAAATTGAATTTTTAAATTCAAAACAATCTAAGTCACCGCTTCAATATATAAACAAACATTTGTCAAATCATTTGAGTCAAATAATTTGTATTGACGGTCTACACCGTGCCGCCATCTATCGATAATTTGTATGTTTTCAGCGTCACTTTAGTGTATGTTTTGAATTGATTGTCAACTGACATCAGTGATAAACAAATGCTGGTGAGTGTTATCAATCGTAAAATGTAAGTTTCATAAATACTCAACTGAAATGAGCCTTCTGAACAAAATAATCGAAAATCATCATCATCATCATCCATAGCAACAACAATAGACGCTGACAAAACTAATGCCATTAAACATTCTACTGATTTATTAATCGAACATTTAGATGGTGATACAAATTTGAAGGCGCTTATACCGGGACCACCAAGAGATCTAGTTCCACAACTAGTGAATCGATATGTAACACTTAGCTGGATGGAACCAGCTCGAAATCCAAACGAAGTTATATCATACACATTATTTTATAAAATGACTTCAAGCGAACGGTGAGTGTGATGATTTAACCATAGAAAACATAAAGATCTGACTCATTTTCGATACTTTTCAATGTTTAGCGAACGAAAGTTAACAACAAAATCACGTGATGAACAAACGGCAATCATTCAATCAGTCCTTCCAGGCAAAACGTATCACTTTCGTGTGGTTGGTAATAGCAATCATGGTCCAGGTATGTATAAAAAAAAACATTTTCTTTTGTCTGAATAAATCGATTTTATTTATTAATTGCTTTGGAATATAAACACCAGGTGAATCGTCAAATATCTTTGAATTAACAACACAACCCGATGAAAATATTGCCGGTGCTGTTAAGAATGTATTTGGACAAGCCCTCAGTCAGAAAGAGATACATGTTCGATGGACACCGCCATTGATTTCAAATGGAAACATTTCCAAGTATCGTGTATATTACACTGAACCAGACGGTGTTGATCTGTATGTGGACAGTATTGGTGCTGACACCGAAGTGATATTAACCGAATTGCATCCACTCACTCAATATGCCATCTATGTTGTGTCAGTCAATGAAAATGGCATGGTAGATTCGTCGAAAGAAATCACAGTGAAAACATTTTCATCAATTCCGGGCGAATCGCCATTGAATGTTACACTTGAAGCAACCAGTTCAACTGTAAGTTCTATTACATACATTTCTTTTTGTATAATTATTAATTTTTAGTCATTTTTATAATCGTCAATAACAGTGCGATGGCAACCACCGCCACCAGAAGAGCAAAATGGTCAAATTACCGGTTACAAAATTCGATATCGCAAACAAAAGAAACATGTTCAAGTCGAAACAACGCCAGCCAATGTGCGACACTATGAGCTACGTGGACTGGACAAAAAGTCGGTGTATCAGGTGAAAATAGCAGCGATGACAGTAAACGAAACAGGACCGTTCACCGAATGGACCACCATCGAAACATACGAAAGCGATTTAACCGAAAGTCATGTACCTTTAAAACCAATAATCACAAACAGTAAGAATTCTATCATTTGTTCTACCCCTCCCCGTCTAATCATTTTTTATCTTTATTTAAAATTAACAGCACGAGCAACAAGTAATAGTATATCAATTCAATGAAGTCCACCCAATCAACAAGAGATTAAAGTGCGAGCTTATATTTTGGGTTTCGGCATCGGTATTCCGAATGTTGAGACACGTATCCTTGATGAAAAATTACGTTTTGTTGAGATAAAAAATTTGGAACCAAATAGCGAATATCTGCTGTCACTGAGAGCTCGAAATTTGGCTGGAGACGGTGAACCAGCGTATAGTAACATTCAAACACGCGACGAAGGTCCAATTGAAACTGGTGGTTTTGTCTTAGAAGTGCCAGTTCGATTGCGAGCAATTACAATGTCAGCCACATCAATTGTAGTTTATTGGACCGATAATTCAGTGAGTCGAGCTCCGCATACGTCAAGCAGTCGCTTCTAGACGGTTCGTTATAATATTGCTCGTGATCGCGATTGGTCAATTGAAACAGCAAAAGCCGATACCACAATAAAAATTAAAAATCTCAATCAGATACTATTTTAAAGTGCAAACACAGAATGTGAATCGAGCACAGCAAGGCACATTTTCGGCAATGATTTCGTATAAAACCGGCAATTTAATAAGCTTATCAAATCCACTCCAATCAATACAAATATTAATGCAATAAAAGTCACAATGATTTTATGCCGAACAAAGACACAAGGTACACCAGATGGAAAACATAATTATATAATAAAGTTAATAGCGGAAATCAACCGCCCGATCGACATGATCGTATCATCATTCATGTGTTTCATTTCAGTTTTGATTTTTTTTATTCTTTGTGTGAACAATAATTTTTTAAACCAATGTTTTTTTTAACGCATGAATTTCTGACCAAATGAAAAAGAATTGTTTTGGGTTTTTTCAAATTAAATCAAATAAACAACCACAACAAATGATATTAGTAAAAAAAATAATCGCCAAACGATGTTTATAAAATGTTTTTAAAATGTTAAATAAATTATCAATTAAAATTTTTGTGTTCTCAATGATGTTTGAAAAAATGATTATTTTGAATTTGGACCGTATTTTTGATTAACAGTCAATTTATATTACTTGAAATTAATTGAACATTTTAAATTGAACTATAAAAAATTTTTTTCTCGGAAAATTTTGAATTGTCGTTTTTTGATGCAATATTAAATTGACCAATTTTTTTCAATTGAATAATATTCGAATTTTTTTTTGAAATGAAGCAGTTGAAATAATGATATTTATTTGACATATCGAAATTGTCTTAACGCATTTAACTGACCAATTAAACTGATAAATAAATAATATTTTTGATCTATTCGGAGATTGTTCAAGATTTTTTTAGGTGACTTGGGATTGGCCCGCATTAATTTTATTTATAAATTCGCCCCAAATTGCAAAGAATAAAGAACGAGGTTTGTATCATACATATGGAATTCATACTCTGAAATGTGCACACTATTGTATTTTGTTGAACCAAATTGACAATATTTTTGTTTCATCGAGTTGGCCTTTTTATTTAAACAATCTGCATAGTTTTTCAAATGTATGCGAGATATATGTATGCGAGTTAATTTGTAAAATGCAAATTAGTTTGCTTTGCGAAAATGGAGCGTCAAGATCGAACTAAACCATTACCGCCTGAAATGAAAGGCCGATTGATTACGTTATTTCAATCTGGATTATCATACCAACAAATTGCTGATGTACTCCTTGTGCATGTAAATATATATTTAGAAATGAGCAATTATTTGTTGAAAACACTTAAAGCTGATATTTTCCATTTTTTTCAATAGAAAAATACCGTTGCATTATGGGTCAACCGATACCTAGCATCTGGATGCGTTAACACCCACTATGAATTTTGCCGTCGCCCACGAAAAACCAACCCTAACGATGATTTGGAAATTGTTGAGCACGTTTGAGAGCAACCATTTATCACAGCAAGCAGTCTCATTGGCGACAACGAAATTTCGTATTCGACAATTCGACGTCGTCTTCGTGAAAATGGGCTATATCATCACATACCAGCATATCAAACAGAATTGACGCCCGAACAAAAGGAGATCCGTGTTGCATTTGCCGAAGAAAATTATGGCATTGACTGGGATTTGGTGGTATTTTCGGACGAAAAAACCTTCAAGTCACACAATGACCGAGCTTTGAGCCTTTGGCGCCCAAAGAAACAACGATACAACCCGAAATACATCCAACAAACACATTTAACTGGACGTATAACATGTGGTGTCTGGGGATTCATTACGCGAGGTGGAGTCGGTGAAATTTGTGAAACAACATCACACGTGAACAGCGCAGAATATACGTCAATTCTGGAAGAAGTGTTTATTCCATCGATGAACATTATGTATGGGGACAGCGTGGAAGAATTTACCTACCAAGAGGATAACGCTCGTTTCCATACATCCCAATTCACACGAGCGTGGTTTGCTGCACACCCAGAAATCACAGTAATGGAATGGCCAGTAAAAAGTCCGGATTTAAATCCAATTGAAAATCTTTGGGCTCAAATGGTATGGGAATGGCCTAGTGGCGGCTTTGCAAATCGCAATGAAATTTTTGCTGAAGCACAAGAACGTTGGGAATTGTTTCGGGGCGGTGACTATGTTGACCATTTATACAATTCGATGACAAATCGGCTCAATGAAGTAATTCAGACAGGAGGAAATTGGTGCTCATATTGAATTATTTTAAATACACATTCACGCAAAAATCAATCTATGTTCTAAATAAAGTCAATTATTATTTATATAAAAGAAATTCAGAAAAGTCATCGAATAAAAACAATAGTAAACATTGAATAACACAGCACTCTTTTTCGAATGACTCAACAATATCTTTTTCAACTTGTATTTTGTTTGTAAACAAAGATCTGTCACTTTTGAAATGCCAAAAATGAAAGTTTCTGTCAATAAGTAACTTCTACTTGCGCACTAGCATATCTCAAATAGTGCTGTAGTTTATTCGAAATTATTTGCTTAAAATTTTATATATAACACTAGATATAAATTATATTCGACACAATTTTATGGGTTTGTGTTCAAAAAAAATCAATAAACAAATATTGATATATTTATTGGATTTCACAAAATTTACGTTTACTATAGCGACACCTATTGACATTATCCACCACAATGATTGCTAGTGCTTTGCAAATACTTTTGTTTCTGTTAATAAAAAGTTGTAAACAAAATCCTTTTTTTATTTGAAAATATTTTTTGTTCCAGAATGAACAAAATTTTTGTAATAAAATGAAAGAATATGTTGATATATATAAAATATAGATAAAACATTCAAATAATCAATACATTTACAAAGAAATATATAAATAAAAAAATATCAGTGAATAAATTCTAACCGGCTCCGCTTTATAACTTTTAATATGGAATGCGTTCCGAAAATTTTCAAATGAATTTGACAACACAGATCTTTTTGCAAACGACTATACTAAAAATGTGAATACCGTGATTACCAAATGTCAAATTGATATCGGTATAAAGATTTCAAGTTTTTTTCATTTCGTTTTAACATTCACCATTTCGAAATTTATTTTAATTTTTTCTGTTAGCTTTATGTTATTTTTATCAAAATTGTTTTTGCATTTATTAAACCAATTGAAATAATACACTTAATAGCGTTGAAAAAGTTTTTTTAATATTTGGAAGATAATATTTATATATGCACATTGTGAGACGTTGCTGAATGCATTGACATTTGGTCTAAAACTGAGAATACCAAGAATACCAAGAATACCTTCAGTTTCGGTGAATATCTCAAGTAATATTCCATGTGTCTACCCCCTAGGACAGTCGTGTTCAATTTTTCATTTGATGGAATGTTTGATTGTGCATTGTCAATATCCGGCTCATAAATATAATCTGGGTTATCAAGTTTCATTTCTGAAAGGTTCGACACAAGTTCATTTTCAACAGTTGACTGAACCAAGTCATTGGAATCATCTTCAGTAAGTGACTAGTGTAAAGAAAAGAATAATCAATGAATACCAATAAATATTTTGCATTTTTTTTCTCTTCACCTCAATTTCCAAATTGCCCACTTCTAATTTACTGCTTGTTTGAATTGAACATTTTTTTACGTGCGCTCTCAACGAATTGAATGTGCTATACTTTTTTGTACACTTTTGATTGTTGTCTTTTTGTTTTACTAAACAAAATAGTTCATCGACATTTTCTTTAATATGGTGAATTTTTTTCAAATGTTTGAATGCATCAGATAAATCTGAAGAACTCTCATTACAAATATAGCAAATTAAATCCGTTTTTGTGGTTACACCTTTTATTTGATTTGTTTTGTATTTATATGTTTGACGTTTGTGTGATCGACGAAGTGTCAAGTGGTTAAAAAAAATTGGTCGAATATACGTCTGGAGAAAACATTATTAGGCGCTAATTCGCCTGAGCGTCTCCACTAGGCTAGATTACGCCTGAAACTATGTATTTTTTTTTTAACTGTGCATGTTTCTAAAAAAAATTCCAATTCAAATACCCTATCCGCAAAAGTCATTGTTAATTTTACTGAAACAATTTTTGATAATTATCTTGAAAAGAATGGTAAAAATAACGAAAATTCGTTTTCCGTTGAATTTACTATGTATTTTTGGTAATTTTTATCAAAAATGCATAGTAAATTTATTAAAAAAATATTTCGGTTAAATTTACTGTATATTTTTGGTAATTTTTATCAAAAATGCATAGTAAATATATTTAAAAAATATTTCGGTTAAATGTACTGTATATTTTTGGTAATTTTTATCAAAAATTCATAGTAAATTTATTTAAAAAATATTTCGGTTAAATTTTTTTCTGTATATTTTTGGCTATTTTTACCGTGAATTTATAGTAAAATTAACCAAAAAACAATTCAATTTATTTTGCTATAAAATCATGGTAAAAATAGCTAAAAATACGCAGTAATTTTAACCGAAATATTTTTTTAATAAATTTACTATGCATTTTTAGTAAAAATAGCTAAAAATACGCAGAAAATTTGACGGACACAGAATTTGTCAAAATTCACAAAAAATAACATTCTGAAAGTTTCAAGAAATTTTGGCAAAAATTAGGGGTAACTCCAATACCCAATATAAAAATTTCGATTTTTGTCTCAAAAACAAAATTTTCGTTTTTGAGACAAAAATCGAAATTTTTATATGGGTACCTCCCCTAAATTTCATTGAAATTTCTGGAAACTTTCGGACTGGTTTTTATTTGTGAAAAAAAAACCTGTGCAATGTTTTAGCTCATACCATCGTGAATTATTCAATATTTATACGTAAATTCTCAATAGTCTATTAATTGGAAAAAAAATTCACTGCTCTTGAAAATTCTAATTTTGTAGTTGTTGAGTTATCGCATGTTCATTACCTTTCTGGAAATAATAAATATTCGTTCGTTAAAAAAAATAAATTTGGAAACAGTGCGAGAAAGTTAGATTTATGAATGTAAGTTCCTTTTTATTTTTAAATAAATTTACAATGAATTTTTGGTGAAATTCCACTTAAGTGACTAGAAATCTTACAGAAAATCCTCTTCCAACGTGAAATATACGTTAGAAATGTATACTTCATGTGCAACACCAAACGGCCGAATAGAATCAGCTGTGAATGTTTCATAATTTTCAAAAAACTGACGCATGAGGAGAGCAAAATCTACTTTGGAATTTCGCAGTTTGATTGTAAAGGAAATAATTGGATAATTCAACTCATCCGGAAGCTTTCGAATAGAACTCATTTCCGC